TCGCCTGACGTAAACATTTTATTATTGTAAAAGTTGTATAGCTGATATGTACAAAATGCTTACCTCTCACATCACAAAATACCTGAACGAATCATACAGAGCCTTTTGAGTTACGATTGAAAGCGTAGAAAAAAAGATATCCACTAAACTGTAATTTCTGGTAATTCGTACGCTCGGCTAAAGTAAAGACAGCAAAAATTGCGTTTGGTAGTAAGTGCCGAATTTTCCAAGAGATGGCACTTCAATAAGTTAAATAAGGATATTCCACGTGTTTGAGTGAAACCAGAAGATATTGTAAGAAGTTCATTTAAAGATACCACTAAAAAGTCTGCTTTATCGACTTTGTACAAATTTGGCCGACCTCTCAGCATCCTCTTAAGAGAGAGAAATTTCTGTCAAATCAGAACTTTTCTATTTCGCAAAATTAATTACAAATTTAGCAAAAAACTTATCTCTAAAATATTCTTTGGAAGACCTAAAATAATCTACAATATTTCACTACAAAGCTTGTATAATTCCACACTCCTCGTACACGCGTCGGTTCTTGCGTATGAGGAGTGTGGAAAGAATAAGGCTGAAAACAAAGGCCATTGAATATGTGACATATATTTTACTACGGCATTACGTACGCTTTGTTCTAACTAGCAGCATATAAAAACGTAAGTCTCGGTCTAATTTAAAGACATGGTTTAATTAATTAGTGAGTGCTTCGGGATTATTTGGAAGTTGTCCATGTGGGTTCTCCGTTGAGCCAAATTAAACCGAATTCCTTAGAATTATGGCAGAAATATTATAGAAGCTAATTGCCAAAACCAAACATATACGTTTTTAATTACAAAATCCCAATTTCAAAGACTAACGCAAATTTATCGCGAGTTGTTTGACAATTTTACAGATAAATACAAATGGAATTATTAACTTGAGAATCATTTGCAAAGATTTGCGTATACGTCTTTGAGAATAGCGTATTTTTACGATAAATCATTACATTAAATTATTACTATCGTATGGAAGTGTTTCTTACCTCGCCCTCCTCTTTTCTTCTTTCTTTTAAAATTAAGACTTACAGAGTTCAATCTGATATAGTGTGATTGATTCATTGCTCTGGATAGTTATAATCTTTATTAAAAACTTATTTTACAGCAGCACAATCGCTCATACAATTATAGATATATTTGTACACTCGCTCACTAAAAGGTTGCGATACTTTTTTTTATAGGTTTCTAATTTATATTTAATATACGTAATATATATTTTATAGATAACTAATATTTTGCAAATGCAAACCACGATGTACTATCTTTAGTCTAAAAGCAGTATAACACCAATCGTGGTCCGCATTTGCAAAATATTAATGCGTTTTGAAACCTATAAAAAAGGAAGTGTCACAACCTTTTAGTGAGCGAGTGTACATAGAATTTTTTTATTTTTTGAAGTATTAATTAAATATTTTATAAGCAATATAATTTTTTATTATTTTAATTAAAACTCAAATATGTGAAGTTAAAATTCTTTTTAACCGCATTGTCAGTCATAATTCAATTAACTTGATAATAAATTATATAATAACGCGTCACATGTTTAAATATCTTTTATCTTCTTCTAAATCTATAATAATATATATATTATTATTATCTTTTTCTATAAATTTATAATAATATACATATAATTATTACCAAAGATTATATACACTATTTTTTTATTTCTTCATTTTTAATGCAAGTATTAGCGGCGAAATTTTTTAGTAAATCAATTTTTATAATAAATTTCGATACACAGGTCGATAATCTATTCTCTTCGATCGTTACTCTGTTTGTCAAAGAAAAATTAACACAGTTGCATATGCTCAATTATTTTTCGCATTAAACGAGAATGAATCAGTTTGACGACGCATCTTCGCTGGAACGCCAGGTACGGGTTCGCATATATCTCTCTCTTCGTGTTCGCTGTGACGATGCGATTAGATTGCACGTGGATTTGTGGTTTGGTGTGCCGAAAAGTATCACGGTGACCGATTGTCGATGTTCGAGGCCGACGTTGGAGTTTCTGCATGCTAGATACGAGTCGAGGACCTTAATGCCTTCGTACAAGCTGTCCAAATCGCAGCTGGAGTATCGCCGATCACTGTAACATCCTCGAGTAATGTTCTTCGGTGTGTCGCTCGGCGTATTCGCCATTGTTCTAGGGCTGATAGACTCGACGTTGCTGGACGTCGCTTCCGATACAATTTCGAAATCGTCCTGCAGCATGTCACAACTGTTGCCGACCGTCGAGATCTTGTTGATGCAGCTATCGCGGAGGAACTTTTTAGAGGAACAGCGCAAAGTGTCCCGAGACGACAAGGCGGCTGTCAAATTAGCGCCGCGGTGAGATGGCTTCGTTAGCTTAGAACCCAAAAGTTTGAAGAGAGCGCTTTTCGAGATAGAGAAATCCTCTTCTTGATGCCCGTCGATCTTCCTCGTGGAAGAAGATACGATTGCCATTTGATCGCGTTGCGACTCCGATATCTGACGATCTTCGACATTTGTCACAAAAGTTGACGGATCGCCGATCGAAAGACCTTGCAGATTGGAGCAGCTAATGGCACAGCCGCACGCGCCCTCGCAGGAGCAACTGGTGTTCCTTCCATTCAGACTGTTAACTCTTTAATTAAATGATTAACATGACAACTGTAAGAGAAAATTAATATAATTATATATACACTCTAAATTCCTTGCAGTGAAAAATTTTCACTTTATCATGCAGTGAAAGGTCGATTTTAGGGTCTTCACTGCAGTGATTTTTACTGTATGTAAAAGTGAGTTTTAAGTTTTTGTAAGAGTTTTAACTTTTGTTAAAGTGAAATTTTCACTTTATTAGAAAAGTCTTTATTAGAAAAAATCACTTTATTAGAAAAGTTATTAGTGAAAAATGTCGCTGTTATGGTAACAGTGACATGATTGCAATGGCATAATCCACTGCAAAAAAAGTATTAATTTATAAGATTAATTAACTATAGAAGCAGTGAAAATTTTTTAACACGGTAGAAAATAATTCATTATATTAACATTGAAAGGTAACTTTACTAAAGTAAAAAATATAGTGAAGTAATTGCCTAAATGAGAGCCGACACGGGTGTTGGTGTGTGAAATTCTTATCGTTACAATATCCAACTACACACGATCTGCGCGCCGCACGGTTTGTCAGTCTTGAAACGCAGTCTTTACATGAAGCCGGAAACAAATTAAATTGACAAACCATTTAATATCTTTCGATGCTAGTATGCATCAATAAGATTCCTCTCCTCTTAGGCACTTACTTCACTATATTTGATTATTTCTTCGGAAAGAACGATTTTATTGAAAGGTCTAAAAATTTTGCTAAAAACAGATCTGTTTCTAATTTTTGTTGCATCATCAAAATAATTTGTTGGAATGTTAAAAGTATTGCTATAAAACGTTTTGATATTCTAGCAATCATTTTGACTTTCGCACAAAATTATTTTGATTATTGAAAAAAAATTGTTTTCAGATCTGGATTTAGCAAAATTGTTCTTTCCATGTTGGAGTCTATTCTATTTAAAATTCATTAGAGTAAAAAGGTCACTTTACTAGCACTTTAAAAAGTCACTGTTAACTGCGGTGACTCAAGTTCACTTTAAGTTAAAGTAAAACAAAATCTCACTGCAAAGAGGGTGGTCGCATTTTAATTATTCGCTATCTGCTTTGCAGTGAAATATCACTGCAACGAATTTAGAGTGTTAGACACATATAAAAATCTTGAAATTACTTATCAACGTCGAGCTCGTCAGAATCCTCGTCTGAAACATGTCGGGTGTTCTCTTGCAACACTACTGTAGTATCTTCTTGGACAGTTTCGCGTGCTGTCCAAGTTATTTCTGGGGGATTTTCGGACTGTCGATTAATATCCGAAGCCGTCCCTTGAGCCTCGGCGTTCGTGAATGAGGCTGGGCCACCAGGAGACGGACGATCGCCGGAGAAAGACTGTGGATACTGCACACTGCGTCGGAGCCATGTGCGCCGAACAGGACAAATCTGTTTCATCGACGCTGATAAGCTAGCTAAATTCACGTTTCTCAATATAGTTCCTGGTGGTGTGATATACGGGGGCGGTGGGCTCTCGGGTACACACAGTGCATGTCGATCGTTTTCCGATGTTACCGGGGTCGTTTGGTCGCTATGACTGCTGTTTGCATCCTCCACGACCAGATAAGTGGAAGAATTCACATCCTCGTCACACCTTAATCGCAAAAATTGAATTTTTTTAAACTATATAGTTTTGCAAAAATTTTAATTTGATTACGCTGTTCAACATAATGACTTTTTTTCGAGCACAAGAACGAGGGAACGTGATCGTTCTCCGTTTACCAAATGTTCTTTTAGTGCTGTGAAATGTGATCCCATTTACCAAGTTGCTTTATTATAATTTTGAGAAATTTGCAGTTAAAATTATAATAAGGGTTTTTTTGTAAACCTTAATGCATTATTGAGATATGTGACATGTTGAAGAAATTTTCATTAAAATTTATGTTATAATATGCCAAAATATGTTAAAGTAGCTCTCTTTTGTAACTTTGATTATAAATTTCTCAAAATGTGACATAATAGAGCAATTTGATAAAAAGGATCGGAATTCAGCATTCAAAAAAACTTTTATTAAACAATGTCCAAAAAAATCTGGATTTTGTCTTCAAAGTAAAAAATGATTTTAAATACTACCTGCAGTTTCTGTAAAAAATTATTTTAAATTTTACTGAAAAGTTAAAAGTCTAATCAACCAAAGTACATATCTAATAATAAACTATTTATCTATTTAATTAATGAACCAATAGATGTCCATAAACTAATTAATTTTAATTTGAAAAAAAATCTATATAAAAGAATATCGAAACACAATTGATACAATTAAATTTTGAAGATGCAAATGAAAAAAATGTAAAACTGCATTTTTCAATTTAATTTAAAATGCTAATTACTTTCATAGAATATTTTGACGTATAAGAAATTAAAGAATTAAATTGTTGCAATAAATAATAATAAATGATCTGGTTGCGATAATTTAAATTTATCGATTTATCCTTGAATCATTAGCTCTGGGCAACATCTTGCTGCGTGCAAAATGAAAAAAAGGAGTATTTTACTGGTTTGAAGAGCTTCTGTTGAAAGTCCTGTTACGATTCAGGCATCGAGCCTTCTTCGACAAGGCAAGTTTCGCGACTTCTTCGTAGTCCGGCGGAGCCTCGTAGCCAGGTGGATCGTCCGGAATGGATATTTCATCGATCCGTGCACCGTCTGTAATATCAAAAACTGTCCGGAGTGACGTGAGAGTTGTTTTGTTTGTACCGGTTTATAGGAGTTAACGCTCCCATTAGCAGTCAATGTGCTACAATTTACATTTTAAACTCGTGATGTAGTCTATTAATTTTCACATAAACAACCCGATAAAAATATATTGATCATATTTTTCAATCTTTAAAAAGCACATAATTAAATTTATAATGTAAATATATGTTTTTAATTTCTAAAATAAATCGAGTAAAATGAAATATATATTATTCTAATAAAATATCCTTTTATTCTCAATGCTAGCAAATCGAGAATGAATTTAGTCAATTGTATAAATTTAAAATAAAAATTGCGTGTCGGATATTCTTGTGCTTTGTAGAACTTAAAAGAAATATATTATTTTTGTCACACGCTTGAGTCGAACTTTCAAAATAAATAGCTTCTTTTATAGTAATTTTCTTTAACGTTCTTCAAATAAACGTTGAGGTTTCCAAATGAAACGAATATCTTCCGCAAAGAGATTTCGCGAACGCATACCTAGAAGTTCGCTGATTGTTTCTAGACGAGATTGCAGTTCCCTTTGCTGTCTGGCCCTGGCTCCTATTCTGTACAGCAGTATAATGAGAGCCGATATTAGAACGATCAGGCCGAGGCTACTGGCGATGAATACCAAGGCGGCCGTTTTCAGATCAGGATACCGATCGATTTTCGGAAAATAGTAATTCGCTTTGTTCATATGCCATTTACGATCACGTGGCTCTACCTCCCAATCTGTAAATGCGACATTTTATTCGAAAATCAATTCGTAAAAATGGTACATATATATAATATACGGGGTGTCTCGTACTCAATGGTAGCGCTTGTGGGGAGGTAGTGTGGATCAAAACTGACAAAAAAAGTCCTCTACCATTTTTGCGATCTTCGCAATAGTTATCGAGATACTAATTAAAAAAAATTTACGCCAATTAGTATATAGGGGAGACCGGGGCTCGTTGGCACAAGAGGCAAGTTGGCACTGCGTTCCGTTTATGTATTTATGATTAAAGAAACAATGAAAAAGTTACAGTAAAATATCTCTTTTATAACATAGGCTCATGTCTCTAAGTTGCATTTAAATCAAACAAGTGTTTCAGTAAAAAAAAGAAAAATTTGATTTGAGAGAAGGCAAGTAAATTTTTGAGTGTTTCAAAATTTCGTATTAATATTCTTCAGCTGGAGAGAGAAATGTAAGTGATGTATTATTAGATAAAAGAAAAGTTTTTGTTACTATACAACATGTTATTTTGAGCAATAACCATAATTTATTATAATAAAATGATTTAAATTATATGTCTGTAAGGATGGGGCACGTTGGCTCATATTTAAGGTTAGCTTAGTTTAATTTACTGTAAGAAGTGTGTAACCTTTCAATTACAA